ACTCTTTTGAAGATCTGATCGAGCAAACAATGCATCGTATTGCTATGTGTCGCTTATTATTACATGATGTATGTTAAATGTACAAAGTCAGACGTAGACTTATATTGCTTACTTAATATTCACGTGGTCCAGATCCCCAAATGACCCTTAATGCCGATAAAGCGCCGTGGAAGTCATTTGGTCGTCACGCCCGATATCACACACCAACGTTTCTCATTATACTGGGATCGGTTTTATCGCACCTTTAGTGCTGGTTCGTGATTATGCCAGAACGAATGGGCCCTCTGGGATTAAAAACATTAGCTGGGAAGCTACATCGGTATGGAGTTGCGACTTTTTTATGGGGCAATTTAATTCGTTACCTGCAGGGCGTGCGTCTTAATCCACGTCAGCGATTGGACAAAATGATTAATCTGATTTACAAAACATCGATTTTTAAGCCTGATTGAGGAAGAAAAATTCAGCATCAGTGACGATTTCGAGGGAAGGGATCTATCAGTTAAATGATGATATTGCACTGCTGATAGTACCTGTCTATTCTATAGGTAATATTGAACTCTTAAAGCTCATTGTAACAAGCATTGGAGATGAAAAATACATTCATGCTAATATATGCTAATAAACAAAAACCAATCGCTCTATCTTAAATGATCTTGATGATACTTGCTAGCAAGAACCTATTATATAATTGCTTTCCGTGGCTAGCAATTGATCCCCCTTTATTCACTCAACATCAATATGAGATAAAAATTGTTTTAATGATGAAAGTGTCCAGGCAAAATACATTCCGTCTATGTAAGAATAGAACAGTTGATTACTAACGGGATTGGAGTTACGGCTATAAATGATAATCCAGTTTGCCTGACAGAGCAATCTTCACTCATATATTACATTCACTGGAGATGACAAAGAAGTTCGTGAGGAAGGAAGTTTTAATCTCTTGGACGCCCCCTATTGAATTCTTTGCTGCTCTAGTATTAATGTCAGACTTGTGTGCAGTGAGACAGACCCAATCGTGCAGGATATTAATGGACAAATCGTGTTTTGGGTTGGGCCATTATTTGACATCCTCATGAGAATGTGACCTATATCCATGAAAAATGGACGTTGCTTGACACCAGGTCAGCACTACGAACATTTATGCAAACTTCCGGGCCAAAGGACGTCCACCAACTTTGCAAGAAGAAAAAAAATCGGTGTCTAACTCTATTTCTGCAACGTACACGAAAGGATATCTTGAAAGTTCATCTGTGTTGGTAGAAGTCATTATGCAGCAAGTTTAAACTGTAATATCCAATTAACACAAGAAATTGGACTCACCCAAATTTTGGACTGTGCAACTCCAGTCTTTGTCTTACACAAAATGATAATTAGCAGGCAACGTCAAAACAAAATGGCGGCGTAAAACTTTCTGAAGTAAGAGGGAACCTGTGGTGGAGACACCGCAGGCTGCAATCTCCAGAGATTTGCAATGCGAAACGTTTCCAATCAACTCTTCAGGTGGCGAGAGGCAGTGCTACAGGTCAGCGGAATGAGCAACAGTTTTACATTCCTCGTCAAGGTGCCGGGGGGAGACGGCTTTAATGATTTTCGCATCGACCCTATCCTGCGTTTTTCCGGAAGATTGACAGGCTGTCCTACTTTGATATCTCCGCTGGGAGGAGATCGAATAAAGAATGGCCTGGATCGGTGAATTGAGACCAATGATTTGTCAGTTTCAGTTTTGATCCTGAAACTGTTCTCAACATCTCCCCAACGTCTGAATCAACAGACCAGTATTTGTCTGTGACAGCGGGCGTACTTTTAGCTGTTTTTCACATTTTGTATGTGAATTGCTGGTTGTAAATGTACTACACTCCAACAAAGTCCACACAAATAGAACATGTTTAGAAACTTCTTAACCTCACGAAAAAACACATAAGCCTACATTGCAATTATGTAGTGCGAAATCCCCATTTCAAACACGCAGATTACATGAAATGGTATCAATATTTACTCTTGAATATCCCCAATGTGAACAAAAAAAGATCATCAAATCCTCTCCCAAATGCAATGTATGGCAGTGGTAGGCCACCATTGGCAGCAAGTTATCCACATTAGATATTTGTCTCAGATGTGAATGGTCAAAGTTGCCAGAAAGGATTTTCGATTTGTCTGATCACCGACGAAACAAACTCCTCCTGGAAGCTGATTGCCGGGGATAATCTTAAACCGTACAAAGCCCCAAATCCTGTATTGGAAAAACCGGCGGACTTCTGCATCGCAATTACGGATAACGAGCTATTAGCGAGATCAGCAACCGGCCGGGTTCACCGCCGGAAGATTGCCGGATGCGGGGAAAGGTCTCCGTTAACAAGACCGCAATCTGCGGGGAGGGAGCCGACTTGTCCATTAGGCCACAGCAAGTACATTTTATGGATGACATCCTCCACAGACTCCAAATCTAATGCGAGCGGGCGAAAAAAAACAAGACCGGCCGAAAAAAACAAGGTTCTTACATTTTGAAATTTTGACTCAATCATTGTACAAATAGTTTTGATTCAATGGGAACATCACAAATACACAACCAACATCACATGTCACTGCATCAAAGTAAGAAACAAAACATTAAATCAGAGCCTTTTCTTGTCTCCCCTCTTCATAGTTATCTGCCATCCACCTTCCGGCATGGCAACAGACATCTTTGCCCATTTTCGGCATGTTGACCACTATCAGAAGGCAACAAAATTTCTTGTTGTTTTTTCCCAAAATCAGGCGACAATTAATGCGCGCGCTGATGTCATCCATAAAAATTACTTGCTGTGGCCTTAGAGATATCCCTCAGCTTGTATTACGTGAGGTATTTGCTAATGTTGATAATTTTACAGGGTAACGGGCTTGACCAGTAGGCACGACCATAAAAGATACAGACGCAATAAACCAAGAAACTTCACACTGAGAGTAATCGAATAATAAAGATACCCGGTTCTGTCGAGATGGCCAATCACATCATCGACAGTTCACTTCTTTCACCTAGCGAGGATTTGAGAACTGAAATAAAGAGAGGGGCCAGTGCATTCTCATCAATTGCCACACTTTCTTTAGTGGGATACTTATTCTTATGTTGGTTGGCAATGCGAGGACATTCTGCTAAATATTTGACGCCCTGTCGACCAGAAGACCTTGATCAAGGCTGAAAGGTAATGGTAATGACTGATTATTTAGCCCTCCCTGTTGCTGAATTGTAAGCCTGGCTCTCACATGAGGCTGGAAACATTTTCCTATATATGGGCCATGCATTTAAATCAATTTACGTATTGTCGTTACACCACGCATCTTTTTCATTATTGGTTGATAAGTATGTAAGTATGTCACAGTCATTGCAAAATATATTTACTACTGTAAACTAGGTGAAGTAAGTTTTAGGTTCTCTACGAGCAAAGCATCTTTACAACTGGGACGTTATAGCCACTTTAAAATTCCTCTTGAAGTGTGTTAGGGGATGAATAAGGATGTAGAACGCACAGATGATGAATGCCAGGGAAGATGGAAGATGTCATCATGAGCTACACTTAACCGTCTCTTGAGGCGTTACTTAAGACAGAGAGTTCTCGTCTGCGCCGGTGGCATTTGAATTTAGTCCATCACCTTTATAAGTATCCTTCTGGATTTACTTTTAACTTTTCACCTCGAGGAAATGTCGTTGTCTGTTGTTCCATTTCTGATAGCAGGGGATGCATAAAACTTTGAAATAGTTGCGTAGGGCATACGCGTATCATTCGTATTCTCTTGCATGTACATATGCATTATTGATTAGCTTTAGTTTTTGTCTATTTTACATCATCCTATATCATTAATTTTGCATTTGAATGGCATTCAAAGGTACAATGTTTTAGGCCTTCAGCACATCCTTGTGTTAGCGAAATACCGAAGATCTATTAAGTTCTTTAATGTTGAGAAAACTTTGTGTCTGGAAAGGTAAGATAAGGATGGCATCACTTTATTGTAAACTTTCATCTACTTGTGGAATCCCCGTGGCATTACCTCTCAGAGGACGACTTTGATATGGCATTTACCTGCTTCTATGTCCAATGCACCGACTATGCGCAGGTTTATGGTATTATCAGTGATTTACTTAATTAAAAGACAGTCTCCAAATTAAAATTAGCCCAGTTATTGAATGTTATAGACTCACAAAATCAAAGAAAATTTCATTTCTCTTTTCCTTAGCCTCTGGACATGCACGATCCGATTTGTGATCCAAATACGCTGATATGCTCAAGAATGATGTCCCTGTTACAATATCACTATCGTAGCTAGCAGGAGGTGTTTCAAATGATGAGAAAATTTATCGTGAGTGCTCCATTTAACAAAAACAGTCACCAATCATGAACACTCCAGACGTTTGGTAAAGGACACAGTTACATAAAATCTTTCGGTTTTAGATAACTGTCATAACCATCATCCCAATCCTATATTTCCATGTACTTACTAGCATTGCTAGCTTTCTATTCTGAGCTCTATGTTGGGTGTTCACGTTATTGCAAAGAGCTGACATATAGTGGGAGCATTCCGTCGTTGGTGAGGTTATAAAAATACCACATCATCGGTATGGAATGCTATGCTTAGTGACAACGTCGGTCAACATAACGGCTTGCATTCTAACTTATAAATGCCGGTCTCCTATGGTCGAAAGCTAAAGCTTGCATTTCAGGTAGATTTTTATTCTGCTTCAGTATTTAAAAAAACTACACTGCTGTGACTGTACATAACCTATTTACATTTCTTTAATTGTGCATAACCGATACATAAACGATGTACAATAATAGATATCTGACAAGCAAATAGTGAACGAATGTCTGTTTCTATTGTCTGGTGTGTTTTGCTATCCAGGTACAGACCAACTCTGATAAAGAGCACCTTGGATTTTGTCAACAACTTGCGCTGTATAAAAGAGAATACTGACATTTGCAGACCAGGAATACCCAAGATTATTATTGAATTAAGAATATCGATCATTGCTCTCCGTTTCGTCTAAAGTGAGAGTTGTTTTTTTCTTTAACCTAATGGTGGTTGATGATGGACAAACAGTATTCATCATTTAAAACTAATATTGAACTTAAGAGGATGCGTTGCACATATCATATATTTTAATTCCTCCACTTGATGCTTGAGCAGCAGACCCGGAGTGCCCATGTTTCCTGAGACTGTTCCTGTATGGCATACAAAAGTCTCTTCCTGTCGTATATATACATACATAAACCTGCATTTGCAATTGGCACTCTGACAAACTTCACGAGCAGCGTCTTCAGCAAGTTATTTACAAAAGTTGGCATCTTGATCACGTATTTTGCAATAGGCATTACAAAAAAAGCAATGCCACACGCAAGACAATGCACTTGAAAATATCAAAATCGATATATCGATAGAACATGTAGCAAAAAGTTACATCATACTACAAGAGTCTTCGTCACTGATACTCCCTTATCTTGAAGTTTGGCACAGTTTTCTATTCTTTGATCTTTCATTTCAATGAGTTCCATTGTTCCACAAGGACTTGCTCCACAGCTTTCTGCGATCTCATAGGCCTTCAACATCTCCCGCATGTCTGTAACCTTTAACCTGATTCTCTCGCGAGTTTCCACCTCCTCCAGCCTTTTTGTGCGCGCTCTCCCTCTGTTGTAGCAGACAGCAAAGACGATGACGTTAACGACCAGTAACGACGTCCCTACTGCAATCACGATGCTGAGTTCAGAGTAGTTTTGTCCCTTGTCCTGACTACTGATGTTCGAGCCGGCAGATTCTGGCCGCCATTCCCCTGTAAGTCCAGGAACAGTATTTCTCGGACCTTGGCTCGGAGAAGCTGAAGTAGGTAATATAGAAACACACGTTGTGCTGGAGCCCGACACGCCAACTGACGGCTTTGTCCAACCATCTGGACGGCGTACAGCGAGGCCGCCTCCCGTTAGAATGGCCTGTCCAATGTCGAGAATTTGACACAACTCGTCTGCATCATCCGGAGGGTAAAGATAGTTGCTGCTGGGAACTTCCTGTGGATAGAGAAGCTTTGGGACAAGCTCGATCCAGAACGCGATGCGCTGCGGCCGAAAACCTTCCACCACCCGAGGTTTCATTCCCAAGTACAGGAACGTCTCTTGACATCGGCTGCAGTTGTCTACACTGTATTGTGCCCATTGGATGCTCTCAAATCTGTTTGGCCTTTCGTGGAGGAAAGTTGTGGTTTGCAGTCTGGGCTTTTGAGGGTCTCTGAAAATGAATACGCGATGGTCAGATCTTAATGATTATTTTGATTAAGACCTAAACCTATGCTGTAAAGTCTTGACTATCTTCTCATATCTACTTCATATATGGTGATGAAAAGCAGAAGGCAAAGTATCTTGATGATGAACGCAACTTATTCTACTGTAGTTTGAATAATTGTGTTGCCAGCATTGCCATAAGTAAAGAAGTCCAACTTACCCAGTTTTCGCAAAATTACTCCAGTATGTCATCATGGCGACGCTCATCATAGATTCACCTTTAGTGAAATTCAGCTGCTGGAAGATCCCTCGAGGGGCGACGGGAGCCCCAAAAACAAACGGCAGCTCGTCCCCATGTACTGCTCCTACCCACTTGGGGTTCGGTGTGTTGATGGCTTTGTAGCTGTAAGAATACATGTATGTCGAACTCTCTGTGTTCTTGGTAGAGTGGAGATTTGCCACCTCAACAATCGGCACTGCGATCTGTTGTTCCGTCAGCATGCGCACAACACCGGCTCTTCTAGTTTCATTCGTGTCGTTCCCCCAGTTTGTGTAGAGAAACAGTATGGCGTCTTGGATCTCATTTTCTCTGTATGGAAACACCTGGTTAACAAAGTCACTGATCAGGTCCCTATATTCATCATCAGATAGACCGTTTTCTATCACAGCAATGCTGGGAATATACTTATATCCATCCTCTTCTGAAAGCCCAACCATGAAGTCATAGCTCCTGAACAGGTCGCCTTCAAGTAGTCTTCGAGGTTGATTGGGAACAACCACACCATCCACAGACGGACCGAACATGGGGTAGTAACTGGAAGATGGCGGTGTCATGTTCTTCAGTAGCAGGTCTTGGTAAGGTTTGTTCCGGAGACATTGGACTGTTTGAGCGGCGTCTGGTCGGCAACAGTCTAGTTTCTCAGCCAGCATTGTCGCGTAGTGCCGCGAGTCTTCAGCAAGGGCGCTGGTGCCTAGAGCCGATCCACTCTGAATGATGGCACGGCGAAACTTTCCTGCAGAAATTTAGAACAAAATGTCTAGAGAAACTGCTATTGCTTCCTCGTTATCTAATGCGATATTAGACTAGAAAAGTAACATTTGCAAAGCAAATGTGTAAATGTGAAATATTCACCTTCGCATATGGTCTACTATTGTTAATTCTTACTTAAATACATTAATATTCATGGTGACAGGCGTCTAAATCCCTCCTGCTATAAAACTGCAACATGATGTAACACATCACTAGATACCATGATGACAGACGTCTGGTTCAGGTCATTGGCCTTATTTGTATGGAGAAGAAGAAGAGGAAACATAATAAACGTTATTTTAGATGTTTGACCTATCCAATTTTGCTACCATCATTCAGAAGTATTGATAAACGACTATGCGGTATGATGTATCTTAAAACACCTACCTGCAGCTTTAGGAGACAGAGCCAGCAAATTAACACACGACGCTCCAGAACCAAACCCTACAAGCGTAACTTTGGTCGGGTCCCCTCCAAAGTGCCTGATGTTCTCACTGATCCAATCAAGAGCTGCGATCTGATCCAGAAGTCCGTAGTTACCAGATGCAAATTCGTCGCCCATGCTCAGAAATCCTGATGAAAAAACAACGTGTCACAGATTTGTTTTCAAACGAGCAGGTAGTCACTTCGTAATCTGATTTGGCAGGCGCATACGCAGTATCTACAAAATATGAATACGTCAGTTGATCTTCGAAAGCGTCAGTTTTACTTACTACAATTGATAGAGGCTCAAAATTATATCTTGATATTTCGCCTGTAGGGCATTCATTGCCATTTGAGTAGCACAATACTACATGTATATGATGGATAACATCGATCTGAACATTGACATATATATTACAGAAGTCGTACGATATATATTTCATAAGTCAAAAACAGATTTTTGAAACTATTTTACTAAGAGTTGTATCGTCGATGAAGGTTAGACATCCAGGTAATACGATACTCAGGCAACTGGATATGATTTTGGACTGGATACTAGCTGAAACGTCTGACCGTTTTTAAAATCATATCCAGTTGCCTGAGTAACTGCTTTTTGGCGTTCCAGGTGTATGTACCTAACACTCCTAGTCTGTAGTTGATGGTGACCACCACTACGGCACCATGGCTGGCCAGGACGGTCCCGTCGTAAGCGTTACCGGTACCGGATGTGTAGCCTCCGCCGTGGATGAACACCAGGACTGCTAACGGGTACATCTCATCAAGACCATCACCTAAATTATAGTAGATTCAGACTCATTGATTATCTATACCCACAAAACAAAACAATGTACTAGCTTTAAAACTCTGCGTTCTTTCTATGCGAATTGTTTGTTTGTTTATTGTTTGTTTTGCACTCACAAGATAAAATGAAATATAACAATTGAAGTTAAGTAGACATGCATGGGAGGGCCGGAAACCTGGAGGTTTATATACTGCCCTTCCCAATACTATAAGATTAAAAGTTACCATTGATACTGAATGAAACAAAATTTAAATGAAGAAGACAAAAATAACAGAAAATAAACAGAAACAATTCAAAGAACTAATAATCTATCTAAACAAATAAAGAAGTTCAAACTAATTAATCTAGTTATTACGAACATAAGTGCAAATGTTTAGCTGGGTAGCTCCTTCAGCCAATAGCTGATTTCCAAGGAGGCCCAGGGGGGTACAATAATAATAGATTAGTAATAATAGTAAAAGAATAATAGATTATACAAAGTACATAATAAAAGATGTAAATGAAATCAGTATAACTGAAAGTTATACATAAATAAATGAATAATACGAAGTTCAACATGAACTGAGGGAATTTACAAGAAAACATAACTTCAAATCATGTAAATTATATGAGCAAGTCAAATCAACAGAACAAGGAAAGCGAATCTATCGTCTTCCTTCGTAATCCGTCACTGTCTAATTTTGGTCATTTCAAAACCATGTTACTTTTCAGTCACGTTTGATTACTTTGAGGCATGCCTAAGAAAAAGACTTGTACAGCCGCAGCTGGCAATCCGCCCAGCCGTGAACCCTCCACGGTAACAACCGCCACTAATGGGTCGTTATATTTAATGGTCCAACAACCATCGTGTACTCTACCTTTAGGGAAATTGCTAAATGATCTTGGATCAACTTGGATAATCACGAATGGGCAGATATCAAGTTGTAAAAGTTTAGATGGGGGACAATTGATGATTTGCCGTGACCTACTTATTGCTCTATTTCATCTGCGCAGCATTTACTTAGAATCAATTTGAAACAAAAGGTTAGAAAAGGTTAACTAGGAGCGTGTCATTGATTCAAATCGTACCTTTGGTATGCACCACGACGTTGGTAACATTAAGGAAGCGCAAGGAGCGTTCTTCATCTTTCAATCAGAGAAGATAGCTAACGTTGCATCAAGTATCGACCACAGTATTCTTTAATCCGTTCACCTTATGCCCCTTTGCCCCTTCGGCAACATGAAAACGACTGACCTGCCAATTTTCCACCCAGTAGATGGTCGATGTGAAAATCATTAAAATGTTCCCCTTCAGTGCAACTTTCTTGGCAAATATGTACAGGTACCGACTGTCCCTGATATCGATCAACATCTGTAACTTTTTGGCTTCTTGACGCTGAAATTGAAACGTCTTCGGGAAACCGAACTGTCTTGGTCATTCCTGCATATGTACTTATGTTCGTAATAACAAGATTAATTAGTTTGATCATTCTTTATTTGTTCAGATATATGATTTGTATTGTTTTATTAGTTCTCCGAATTGTTTTTGTTCATTTCCTGTTATTTTTGCGTTTAAATTTTGTTTCATTCAGTATCAATGGTAACTTTTAATCTTATAATATTGAGAAGGGCCTCCCATGCATGTCTACTTCAATTGTTATATCTCATTTTATTTTGTGAGTGCAAAACAAACAATAAAACAATACTTTCGCCGTGCTTCTGTAAAGTACCAATAATCATTCATATGTATTTATAACTTTGCATTTGGCCGTTCATAATTAATGTTTATTCTTACATTGTAAGGTTATCATTCAACAAACAATGCTATTTCACTAGGTGCGTAAAAGGTATATCAGACGAAAAAGAAATTTATAGTTTTTGTAAATATATGATATTTGACATTTTGTATATGTAAATATCAACGCAATTCAGGCAACATTGTATGCCTTGTTTGTCTGTTATGTTTGGTATGTTAATAAAGAATTGAGAAATGAGAAAAAGGAAGCTGAGAACAAAAGGTAACAATTGTCTGGGAAACAGCTATAGCCAACCATTTGTAATCCTCACCATGTCTCTGCGCGCGCGCATGCGGTCAATGGCTCTTCGCCCTGAACTTGCAACGCAATCATGATTCGTGATCAAATAAAAAGTAAGGATTCTGATCCGTGATCAGATTCTGATTCGTGATCAAATAAAAAGTAAGGAAATCTTAGCGAGAACAGAAGAATATTCATGCCATATTTGTGTCAAAGGGCAACGGTGACTTCTGATTCCGTTTAGCGTCAGCCATTTGAACCCCAAGCTATAGGTATTGATTTGTGAAAAACAGTGTCCTGAAACTATTGTTTCTACAATGGAGATCGATTTGTTCAGCAAAGCAAAATATACGTAAGCCGAAGACAACATAACCCCACCAGAAGCCTGGATGTAGGGGATTCAGAACAAGTGATTGATTCGTTTCTGTTGGAAGGCATTGGACCGAAGGCGATGAATTTGACCGATACTTTTCTTAGTCTAACGTTTTAGTGGAGAGCTAGATAGATGGGCTAGCCATAGAAAGTGGCATGGGGCCAAAAATGCCACTTGTTGGAGATCTACATTCCTTCCACGTTACCTAGATGTATATCGGTGTAGATATCCAAGATAGAATACATATTTTACATTAGTCTCCAAGGCTAAGGCATGAATAACATTTTGCCATGGATTCATATGAATTGTAATAAAAATAATCATGCTTATGATTAATGGCATCATACAAACAAGTAGATACGTGTAATAATTGCATCCTATTGATTATGTGTCACATTTTCAAATAACCACCTCAGTTCAGTCGATTTTGACAAATTTTGCTTTGTAGTTAATAAATTAGCTTCACATTTTCTATTAGTTCGAATTAGTCAATATCAATTAGTTCTAATTTATCGATATCAATCTTTGTGTACCCTTGATCAATATAGCTGCCTTCTACATGCCTTGTTTTTCAACTGTAAGTTTAACTACTTTTTGCGATTGCGAGTTTAGTGTCACGCTTGACTGTACTAAATTAACGGAGTTCGTCAGATTTCAAGCCCCCAGGCAATTCACTTTACTTGGGAATAAGAATTAATGTTTCAGGCTGCAGATAAATTTACTAGACGATAACATAATGTAATTAGCCCTAAAAATAGTTCAGGCCACCTAACATAAGGTGCAGTTGAATTGTGTGGATGAGGCTAGGCAATGTGGGTGCCGCCACCCACAGATGACTAATACTAATAGATTTACGTACAAGTAGCGTGACATCAGTATGATGGGTTTTTCAAGACGCTTGCTATAGCTAGTAAATGTTGACATGGTTAAGCATGGCGTTTTATTTTGATGGAATATGTGACCGTAGGCCTTCGATTCTAAATTATTGGTTAAATCAATTTTATCTTATTATAAACTTGACAATTTTTATTATTTATCGTTGGCTCGCCGTTCTATTTACTTCAACGTTCATTATATGAGTTGTTAATTCTTTGTCATCACCCTTGTAAATAGTGTTGTTATTGTTTATTTTGTTTATTATTTATGTAATCCTTATCAGTTTATATTGGTGGGGGCTTTAAAAGAAGTAATTTTCCTGTTTCCCCCAACCTTTTTACATTTTGTTGTAAATAAAGCTGAAATAAATTTGCAACTACTTTGTTTGACACTAAAAATACCAACCGTTGATAACAGGACTGTAGATGTTCAGGTACAGACAATCTTCGTCCATCGTCTCCAAGAACGGCCGCATGGCTTCCCTGGTTTGTACCGCTGACGGCAGGTCGGTGTCCCCTGATGTCACAATCTGCGGACAGGCGGGACCAAACTTGGTGAAGTCTCTCACCTTATCCTTGTCCCAAGCTTCTGGTTCCTGTGGCGGTCTGAATCGCAGGTTACCCACCGGTGGTTTGGCGTACGGGATTCCCAGATATTTGTTCACTGGACGCATCCTGTCTTTCGGTTTCGGGACTTGTCTGCCTCGAAAAGATCCGTATTTGGTGGTGATAACTTCTCCAGAATTCGAGTCCGCTGATGCAGTCATGAGGATCCATGTCAGTATAGCTGACGTTACCCACATGGAATCCATCTTTACAGTGTTCAGGTTCCTCGTTCAGTGGTCACGTCAGGTCATACGTGCAGCCTGGAATAGACCAAAGAAATGTGATTAACATCAGCAAGCCACAAGGAGAATACAAAATTGCTCAAGTAATATGAGCGGTTTCTCAAAGAAAATAATTACCTGCTAGAAGACCTGTAGTGCTTAACAACGGGGCAATCAGTACTGTAACAGAGAATACAGGCCGGGCCAGAAATAAGATTAGTTTCCTTGCTACCGTGAAATCACCTTGTCTAGTCAGTGTCCTCGTGGGTGATCCACAGGACTGCCTCTGCCATGCCGGGATATTGCGATTCTATCTAAGCATTCGAAGCTTCTCGTCATCGATCCTCAAGCAAGCAGTTCACCGTCTTCACCTTGAAGAACGCGAGAGCTAACATAAATTGCAAATTTCAAAAAGAAAATAAACGTTTCCGAAATTCCACTCTACATTACAAAGGCCGGATCATTGTCCCTTCCTCTACTCTAATTATTTATCATGCGACTTGAGGTTCCTTTCAATTCCAAACAGACTTCCTGACTTGAAGACGTAGGTCATCGTGGACACAACATCAAAGTACCATACTGGCAAACGCATGTTTACACATTACCATGGACGTGCACAAGCTCTCTATGAAGTCTACCTAGAATACAGGAATAGAGAAGAATGCAGTTTGGCATCTTTTTTTTATCAAAACAGAAATAAACAAATGCAGACAAGATTAAGACACCAGCAACGGCATCAAACGAGAAAAATAGTTATGTAATAAAGATATAGTAATACATAAAGTAACAAAACTGAATAGGATCAAAAACAGCAATTTAGGGCTAAATCTTACTGCTATGAGCGCAGGTCCTAACACCCCCTCCCTATTTATTTGATACTTTGTACTTGATACTGTATTTTCTGCAACTAATCTTCCTCGATTCCAACAATAACACACAAAAAAACATTACACAAATTTCACAATCATCTAAAAACAAGTTGACATTGAACTGCTACACCACTTGACTTCCACACAACTTTACATCCCACACATGCCCTGTAATCATTAAAATGACATTCGACTTTTACACAACTTGAATAAAAGCATTACTCATATTACATTAATATGCTTTTACTTCAGTTACATTGATTTCGTCTACCTTGCGATTGTTTTGGCAGGACATGTGTAAAGCAATTCAAATCTTGTGAATCAAACAGGTGCGAAACGTCCCCTATTGAGTTTGACATCCTTAAAGGAATACGTGACTCGTACTCCGCCTCTGTTCATGGACAGGTTGCATTCGTTACAATCGTCCCCAGTTATATGGCGTGAGCAATTAAGCAAAGGGTCCAGACCCCCACGGTCCCCTTTGCTAAACCATGAGGATAAATTAGAAGTTCACAGATTCGGTTCTGCTTTGACACGAGTGGAAAGAGAATCATAAATACAAAATCCAATAACTATTTGATGGCTATATTTTATATTGCCGCGGCACAAATGTATTGATATTCTGGACATGGCTGTCCTGCATATGGTACCTCTCTTGTGGTATATCCATATCATGTCATCACATTGTTTACTACTATTATTTATGAACAAGCTGTACACAACTTTTTAAACAATTGTTGCATGTACAGTAGTTCAGATGAAAAGAACGTATATATATATCATGCATGGATTAACGAATGCCTTCCAATACACAATGAATGATGGGTCTCATGACATAGGAATCTGTCAATAAATGCCCCAACAAATCTATTTTATTACAAAGAATTTATAGAAATTTGATAACATAAAAGCACATGCAAACTTCACATTCAAGCATTGAATACACAGATCAGCATCACAGAATTGAACTATATTTAAAGATTGCCATTGACGTGACCATTATGTAATGTCATTTCACAATATTTTTACATTCAAAGTTACTGAAATCAACTAGAAAACCTCAATGGAATGTGAGCTTGTTTCTGCCAATTGACGAATCCCAGAACACAATCAGCTATACTATCAGCTCTGCCGCAAGAGGCTTGCCGTAGCACGCACTACTCCCTAATTATCTAATTAGATGCAATAACATGGATGAAAGGCTCTAGCTATGCTTAGGGGGATAGCCTTTACCTAGCAAGACTAAGTATTACATTTGTCACGATGGGGCCACATGAAAGGTAGACAGACTGGTCAATTGTTATTTTATCATCTCTTTTCCATTTTTTCGTATGAAATATTATTGGATGATTGTCTATGACATGTCATGCATTTATTCTTTAAAAATGACTGACATGGATGCTATCTGTACTGTATAATTCGGTACGAGGGTTAGGAAATTGATGAAAACAATGATGGATTGTTTCAGCGAAGCGTTCGTTCTGTTGTAGGTCAAACAACGGGTATATATTGCGATAAAATGCGGTCTGGTCAACATGGCGTTTATTCAATTAAAGCCATTGCTGAATAGCGTAGTATCATATCATATCATATTTTTCTTGATGTAAACGGTTTCAACAAATGGACTTCGTCTACAATGTGAATGATAGCCTGTACTGCTTCAGACCCAAATGAAACGAGGACATGAACAATAAATTCACAGAGAGAAATAACCAATACTATGTAAGGTATAACCTAAAATGCAAACATGGTCCAGACTAATGACGTATCATAAGAAAACCAAACAAGAAAATGACAATCACTAACCTTGTCGCGACCCTTTCTGAGTGTTTGCCTACGTTCGAACGTTCGTTATTCACCACCTTCTCACAATTACGCTGCCCTCCTATTCAGTAAAGTGTACAAGCCAGATGAATAGCCCGCGTTGGGCAAATATTAGATTCAGCAGGCGATCGATTGATTGCTTTCAGACATTTGTTGCTGCATGACGTTGTCAGTTACTGCTGCAAAATGCCAATGCCGGGGCAGGTCGATGAAGAAATATCATATGCTGCCATTTTCTGTACGACTGTCATGTCTTTGATGTCCCTCGACATTGAACCTGTTTGAAAATGCTGGCTGTTTTCCATGAATTAACTTATAGCACTATACTTAAGACTCTTTCTTGCAACTACAATGTTTTAACATTAGCAGTATTTCAGCTTGTATTATCCTGTCCATACAAAAATGACATGTAATGCTAATATCATATATGATGAGGTGATACCAACAGGTCAAAAACGTGTAACAAACAATGAAAAAGCATGAGTTGGAGTACTGCAGATGTTGAAATATTTCCGTCTCCCCGCCAGTCGTAAATTATTGTCCACTAATCGTTTCCTTCTGTCACTGTGTGTCTGGTACAAGTGAAATCACACAGACACGGGCACGAAGACTGGGTAAGAATCATTACTCTAACCGTTCAGAATGTTCCCAGCTACACGAAGTAAAGACCGGCGTGTATAGATCAGGGTTCAGACATAAAACAACCTCGCATAACCAGATCAGGCATCATACTGTGTAAGATTCTACTCAGCATGTATGACTTGACTCTGCCTCACGACTATTGGGAAGTAATCCTTGCAGACGTGTTTCCAATACCAGGAAGAGAATTACGATAGACTACAGTTGGCCAGCTTCATTTACCAGACAGTAACAACACGCCTCGGACCTCTGTAGCAAACTTACCGAGCGGATCTCCCTGACTGCTCACCTGAAGTGCGAAGGACCGACTCTCTCTCCACCCGCAGGTAGCCATTAAACATCCATTCACCCGCCACATGTGAACAGGCCCACTGTTTTAAATGTTCTGAGGGCTGGGGAATTCACGTCGATATCCTCTGAGCCAATCAGCCCTAAGGCCCAACGAGGACGTATTACCAGTCCTACAGAGACCTGTTTCGCCAACAAAAATCAATGGTTACTTTATCTGGTATTGCAGCGAAATTGGCTTGCTCGTTGGCCTAGAGGTTTTCTATGTGTCAGGAGCGCACGCGCATTTTGTAATAAGCACAAATGTGATGTATTTATGCGGTACAACTTATAGGATGGCAATTGTGATATTGCACTGTTGATATAAATCTAAACCAGTTTGTCATCTGAATCTAGGCTCGTCATCGTAATCTGCACATGAAAAAGACCAGCTTATAGATTGTTGAAGATAAGCCTTATTGATGTTGCCGAATGAAACTTTTACATGTGTTGGCAGGCAATGATACCCATTTTAATTGTTACTCAGTATACTGCGTTACTGGAATAGTAACTGTGTTACTGGAACAGTAACATGTAAAACCAAGCCCCATAATCCTT